ACTCAAACCCGTTTCCGGCCGGGTATTGAGCCAAATGGATAATGATGATAATGGATAATGAGATTCGCAATGTTGTCTGTGTGGTTAGAGGGCCTTGATTGGATTTTAAATTGGAAAGTGCAACGAGCACCACGAAAGGTTCATGACATGCCTTGTACTTTTGTTTACCCGTGTAAACTCATCCTGTGCGAGGAAAAATATGCAATCCTACATTTAGACCAGTGGATAAACACGCATGGAGGTGGCGACATGCCGAAACGATTCTACCTAAACATAAAGCGGAACGGGCGGATTATCAAGGACAATCTGCCGATAAAGATACACTAGTTTTTCTTAAAAAGAAAAACAGCAACAAAGATTTATTCTTTTTTTTTGTTATTAGTATTTATACGAGGGCTTTATAATGATTTATATTTTAGCCATCATGAAGCTGGCAGCATAAGATTATATCATAATAAGGGTAACGTAATCATTCTATCGTGTTAAATGTGTTAGTTTCAATAATATTATTTTGTATATACAATTGTATTGTCTCCCTCTTTATCTATCACTGACCCCACGGTCTCTTACTCTCTCTCTTTCTCTCCCTCTCACTCCCTCTTTCTTTCTTTCTTTCTCTCTCTCTCACTCCCTCCTTCTCTCACTCACTCTCTCTCTCTCACTCCCTCCTTCTCTGTCTGTCTGTCTGTCTGTCTGTCTGTCTCTCTCTCTCTCTCTCTCTCTCTCTCTCTCTCTCCCTCCCCCTCCCTAATTCACTCACTCTCCCTGTATATATTATATTTTTCCCCTTTCAATCACTCCTTCTCTCTCACTCTTTAACTATTTATCTATCCATCTATCTCTGTTTATCTCTCTCTTCTTCTTAGTCACTCTCATTCTTTATTTCTCTCTCGCTCCCTCCATCTCTCACCCACTCACTTTCTCTCTATCTCACTCTCTCTCTCTTTCTCTCCCTTTCACCACTCTCCTTCTCTCTCACTTTCTAACTATTTATCTGCCCATCTCTCTCTTTCTTTCTCTTCTTCTCATTCACTCTTACTCTATATTTATCTATCACTCTCTTATTCTCCCTCTTTCATTTTCTCTCTCTCTCTCTCTCACTCCCGGCTTCTCTCACCCACTCACTCTCTTTCTCTTCTTCTTAGTCACTCTCATTCTTTATTTCTCTCTCACTCCCTCCATCTCTCACTCACTCACTTTCTCTCTATCTCTCTCTCTCTCTCTTCTTCTCATTCACTTTTACTCTATATTTATCTCTCCCTTTCTCTCAATACTTCTCTCGCCCACTCTCTCTATCTATCACTCTCTTCTTCTCATTCACTCACTCTCCCTCTTTCATTCTCTCTCTATCACTCCCTCCTTCTGTCACCCACTCTATCTCTCTAAGTCACTCTTCCTGTATTCTCTTTCTCTCCCTTACACTCACTACTTCTCTCACTGTCTGACTATTTATCTATCCATCTGTCTCTTTTTCTATCCTTCCTCTCACTCACTCACTCTCCATCCCTTTTTCTTTCTCTCTCTATTTCCATCTCTATCGCTCCATTCATTATCACTCTGTTTATGGATCGATTTATTTCACACACACATACATTTTTTTTCAACCGATGTATTTATTTCATTCGTCTCCCCTCTATCTCTCTCCCTTTCGTATCTTTCACTCTCTCTTATGCCTTCACTCTTATTTAATTTTCATTATGTCAGTTGCCTCACTTGCCAATTGGACGTGAGCTGTCAATTTTAATGTAAAACAGCGCGTCAAATCACATTATGCTCGGTTTCAAGTTGGTTATGGCTTTTGAGATTAAATTTGTAATATGGTAGACTGCAAACATCATCCTTATCAATCATTGTTTGTGGCATGTTTAATTTGACAAATCGCCCCGAGTGGCTCTCAGAGCTTGTAAATTTGTCATTTTCGCTCGTATCAATATTAATAAACACGAGCCCCACGCCGGGTTATAAAAAAAGACCGGATCCCCGCGGGACGTATCCGATGAAGACGCCCCCAGGGGGGCCGAAAGCCCCATTTCCCGATCGTATAAGATTTCGTAACTAGGATGCAGAGATTTCTAACAAACCGTTGAATAATTCGGTTCGACAGTTTTGCAATTTTCAATTAGATTTCATGCTAATAATTCATTTGACTTATATTGTCATGCAAATGAAGAAAATGAAAGAAACGAGTTCTAAAACATTTACATAATGGGCCACTCTGTGTCACCGAAAAATCCAAACACGCTGTTTACGTAAAATTCATTGTCCCTGGTACTAAAAACCTGAGTAGTTGCCGTTGGATTGTCATACAAATCGGCCTCGGGTTCATTGTTGACCGGCCAGCTAAGAGAAGGCTTTTATGAGGCAATCAAGAGACCGCATTGGGCTATTAGAGCTCGCCAAGTTTGGAACCCTACACCTAGAAGTCATAAGTCGCCCGGATAAACTTAATTCAACAAATCTAATCTTTATCGGTTCCTGAAAAATAATCCGTCCGGTGGAAGATCGTTAAAGCGATCTTTACGACAAACAACGTATAAAAACTATGAACAGAAATGTTTCTGGGTTGTTGGAAAAAATCGTTAAATAAAACAAGCGGTTTAAAATCCGCATTCCGAAAACACGATACATGATTTTGGACGGTGGAACTAAAAACCAAAAACTAAAAAAAAGTTCTCATTTAAAAATAATTTAAGCTGAGTAAAAAGGTAATAAAAAATCTGTCGGTACTACAAGTTGGGTGTCGCGGATTTTTTTTTTAATAGATTGTGTGCGGATTCGAACCCAGAACCTCTAGGGTGGCAATTAAGATGGCCACCGAGTGCCATGCTAACGTGGGTTTGCAAATTTGTCGATTATTGGGGAATTTTTTTTTATTAAAAAAAATCCCCCAATAATTTTTTTTTATGGATTGTGTGCGGATTCGAACCCAGAACCTCTAAGGTGGCAATTAAGATGGCTACCGAGTGCCATGGTAACGTGGGTTTGCAAATTTGTCGATTATTGGGGGATATATCCAGCTAAAATAAATCTTGAGCTTAAGTTTGTTAAAGGTGAGAGTTTTTACCTAAATAGATAAAATGTCGGGGTTTAAAGAAAAAAATTAGATTGAAATAAAGAGCGAGAGAGCGTGAGGTATAAAAGATAAAGTAGTGAGCAAAGCAGGGTGAGATAGAGATAAAAATATAAAATATAGAAAGTGATACGGACATAGGCTAAAGGACAGTGAGTGACGCAGATAGATACAAATAAAGAGAGAGGGAGAAACGAGGAGAAAAACAATGAGACATATCACTTAGAAGAGAATGGTAAGAAAGAGGTAGATAGAAAGAAAGGGAGCGAGATAGGGAGAAAAGAGAGTGAGAGACAGACATAGAGACGGAAGAGAAAGAGAGACAGAATGAAAGAGACCGTTATGAAGTTGGTAGATGGGTAATTTTAAGCATCCATGATGAGAGTAAATGAATATTTGAAACGTTCAGTACTCAATAATTACCCCCCCCCAAATATATGAGGAAGAAATAAATATTACGTGAATGAGAAATAGAGAAAGTGATAGAGAGAGAAAAGTTAGATGCAGAAAGAGTAAGATATAAAGAGGTAGGCAGAAGAGAAGAGAAATATATATATATATGAGAGTGAGTCAGAGAGAGAGAGAGAGTGAGAGAGAAAGAGAGAGTGAGAGAGAGAGAGAGCATTTAAAGGTCAACTTTTCAACTTTCTGCCAATGGATGTCACGATGTTACATAAAGTTTTTAGGAAAAGAAAAAATGCTTCGAAAACAGTCATAACTGCCAATACTGTGCAATAGGTTTGTGGCCGGCCGGACCCATTTTTTCCAGGTGTCCAAATAAGAAAAATACATTGATTACATGTAGCTAGAATGCTTATCCAGGATAAAATATCGTCCGTCCCTTGTCACCCACCCCAGCACGTTTGCTTTTGTCAGCCTGTTTCCCCCATTTTGCCTAATTCGGCCTAAAAGGTTTATATTTAAGGATTGCATGCTGGCCGGAATTCCCTGAGGAAAAAACCAATTCGGGAATTAGGCAAAACGTTTTAATTACGGATTTTTGTATATCTTTGTATTAGATTCGTTAAAATAAAATTTGTACTGGCTGATTGGGTAATAACCAAAATCTCAAAGTACATTTGTACATTCAAATTTTTTTAAAATAAAGTAAGCATAAACTGTGTTTGTTTATTATATGTACTGAAGTTTACAAAAATAATTTTAAATTGTTTTATGGAGCAATATTGACTTTGTAAACATTATCTCCTCCTACATTAAGATGGCGCAAGCACGGTTCTGGGGCCTTTCTTGACCTAAGCCATGCTTATTGTTTAGCACCCGGGCTTGTTCACGCTCAAGGGCATCTTTCTCTCGACCTTCTATCTCATATTGCACAGTATGTACGTTTTGGAGGCAATTCCCTCTCTGCATATTTCCATATCCATGCTGGTGTCCGTCAAGGTAGTGTTCTGGCCCCCACACTTTACTATGTTTACACAGCTGACATATCAGCCAACCCTCTCATTTGCAAAGAATAAAACTCCAATCCTGCCGTTTCCACTCGAATTTTCCAACACCTCTCACTACTAGATCTAGGTGTAAAAAGAAATAATAAAATTTAACACAGACAAACCCACATTGTACCGTCACAAAAGATCCTCCAGTCTACTAAATATTATTCTCCTCACAACTGCAGTACCTCGGAGTGTACATCGTCAAACACATGACCTGAATCCTCATATGTAACGTCAAGAAGTGCAGAATTTATGCACGACTTTTTGCCAACCTTCTGATTTACCTCTCAAAAATAAAAGGCTGCTTACAATACTACAGTCAAGTCGAGGTGGACTTACGGAATGAAAGCGTCGGGTTGAGCACTTTTCAACATCCGCCGCGTACGAACTGCCCGATCCTTAATCCTACGAAAAATCCTTGATGCTTCATTTTATGTATAATTACACATACATACTAAAATATTCCTTTCTTTCAGGACACCCAAAACTAGCATCACGACGAACCCTCCTCGCCGACTGAAGAGACGATGGTCGCCAGGTCTCCTATGCAGTGACGGTGAAAGTGATAATGACTCAAGTATTAATTAACAGGCAACATTTACCTTCATTGGAGTACTAAAAATGGATATTTTCTCCACTCTTGTTTTTAATTTTGTATACATTTCCTACCTCATTGTTACATGTTACCGAATTGAAGTTACTTGTATGTACTGCAAATTGGAAAAAAATGGATTATGTAGAAGAAAATGAATATATCGGGTTGGTGAAAATGTAACGCAGGTTTTGAAAATTGGTTTTACTTTTGCAGGTGCTTGTCATATAAACACAGCTAAATCCCACAATCTCAAATTGATTTTTGACTTTTAACTGTTATCTTTTATACAAAAAAATTGATTTTATATTGAATTTTATAAGCGTCAGTACATGCAAAATCAAATATTTCCAAACAAGATTTTCGTCAAATTTATTTTGTATTAAACTGGGGGGAAGTGCGGCCCAAACCGCGCGTAACATCAACACAGTTTCGTGGGGAGGGAAGCAGTAGCGAATGCATGCCATCTGGAGCAAATTGGTAAAGTAAAGAAGCTCGACAAGTTGGGAAACGTACTATCTAACCTAAGTCCAAAGAAATCGACGCTTTGAAATTTGTCTCTCCTGTTGCGCAACCAAAATGGTCCATTTCTCGAATCATCACTTGCGATAACAGGAGTCGTACAGGTAGTGGTTGGACAAGGGTACAGAGCCAAAACACGTCTCGAAACCAAATCTGCGGGTAAAAAAGATTATGTTTTGTCCAACGTTGGTAAACTGTAACGGGCTGATTCTTCACGATAAGGCCACATGTCGCCATGTCAACCCTGCGGAAACTTAAGGACTTAAGAATATGAAACCTTACCACATCCTCCACACTCACCCGCTCTCTCGCCTACAGACTTTCTCTTTTATTAGGTATTTTGATCACTTCTGGAGGGATAAAATTTTTAGAGAACGAGGTGAAGCCGAAAACGCCTTCCAGGACTTTATTGTAAGTCGAAATAAAGGTTTTTATGTAAGCGGAATAAAAGCACTTATTACACTTTGTCGAAGATTTTGATAAAACATATTTCAAATAATTTTTTTTTTATCTTATAAAAATTAAAAACAATTTTTACTGCCTTTTCAAAATCTGCATTATTTTTGTACCAGCCCAATATTAATCTTTATTTGAACAGTTATTCATATATAGTTTATTTTATTAAACCTCACTGACTAATTAAAGTATGATTTGATAAATTATGTAATTAATTTTTTTTTTTAATGAAAACGATCAAATATATCTGTGTTTTTAGTGGCAAATAAAGATTTTATTGTTTACTTCTTGTTACATTTTCTATGACATTGTCAATGTCAATTGTAATTAATTTGCCATGTGCCTAACAGTCTAAATTTATCGCATTAATTATACCGGATCTATGACATCTGGAGCGTCCTCTAAAAAAGTAGCCTGTGTGCTATAATAAGAAGTTATTAATAATTCAAAAAGCTCAGGATTCGTAATAAATAGCCCTCGGCCGGATGCGCGGTTTTGATTTGCGAAAATACTTGACCATAGCTCAGAACCTAATTTGTATAATAAAATTATCACAACGCCCGTTTAAAAATTAAATAGAAAAATATCGCTAAGCTGAAAGATCATGTAGTGCCAGATAAACATAAAACCGTTGGAAAACGTCGACCGCTTCCTTTTGCATTATTCAGTCCCCGCCTGTTCGGATAGATATGAGAAAGAGCACTATATCCAGCCTGTTGCAATTCTTGTCCTACCCCATGCAGGGTCGTGTTACATACTCGTATCTCATAATCTGAATCATCGTCCTCCCCGGGCTTCCTTTCTGGCAGGCGATTTGTCCCCTTTCCTTAAAACTTCCATTTTCGAATATGACGACTCTGGAAGATAATTCATCCGGGGTTATATGACGGTATGTCCTGACGTTTATGTCCTCCGTACACGGCAGCCGAGCTCGTCCGTTTTATGACAACACATTGGGTATTTGTTTCTATGAAATTCTCTCACGAAGTTCTCTTTGGGGAAATATTTTCTTTGTGCGTACTAATAGTATATAATAATAAAGCGAAATATTTAAGTCTATAGATTAGCTATTTGGTAGTCCTTTCCTTTTCTGTAACCATTCCTCCACTTCAAACACTCCATTTATTTATATTTCTTTATATTTACATATATTTTTTTTCTATCTCCATTTCTTGAGCTTCCTTCTGTCTCTTGCTCTATGTGCGTGTCTAGATATCAACTATTTACTTTTCTTAATCTATATATTTTTATCTATCTAGGTCATATATCTCTTTCACTCTGTCACTCTCTCTCTCTCTCTCTCTCTCTCTCTCTCTCTCTCTCTCTCTCTCTCTCTCTCTCTTTCTCTCTCTCTCTCTCTCTTTCTCTCTCTCAGTCTTTCTCTCTCCTTCTCCCTCCCTTTGTCCATCTGTACATCTTATGATCTATTCATCTACATTTTTCCCTCTATCTCTCAGTTTATGTCATTATTTTTCCCTCTCGTGCTTTAAGTGTCTAAATTTCATGTATTTTTTCATAATCTATCGATTTCTATTTATCTAGGTCATCTCTTTCTCTCTCCATTCCATTATCCATCTGTAAATCTTATGATCTAATCATGTAAATTTTTACCGTATCTCTCTATGTCACTGTCTTTCTCTCTAATGATCTGTCTAAATTTCATCTATTACTTTTTCATAATTTATCTATTTCTATCTATCTAGGTCTTCTCTCTCTCTTTCTTTTTCTCCTTCTCCCTTCCTTTGTCCATGTGTACATCTTATGATCTATTCTTCTATATTCTTACCCTATCTTTTAGTTTGTCACTGTTTTTCCCTCTCGTACTTTAAGTGTCTAAATTTATAATTATAATTAATTATAAATTAATTATAATTTATAAATTATAATTAATTTTTTATAATTTATTCATTTCTATCTATCTAGGTCCTCTCTCTAACTCACTCTTTCTCTTGTCTCTCTTGCTCTTTTTCCCCCACATTTTTCTCTCTGTCAATCTCTATATCTTTTTATCTACATTTGTTCCAATATCTTTCAGTCTATGTCCCTGTCTTTCTCTCTCCTGCTGTATCTGTCTAAATTTCTTTGATCTTTGCATTAATTTTCTTTCTCACGCTCACTCTTTCCTCTCTTTCTATCTATCTGTATTTCTTTGTCTCTGCTGCTCTATATGTACCTCTAACTCTATCTCTCCCCCGCCTCTCTCTCTTATCTCTCATCTCTAGAAAAGATAACATATCCTGAAATATGTGAAAGAGCATATGTTATCCCAGAGTTAAAAAAACAAATCAATTCCGGAAATTTCTGACTGATCAGCATGTTGCGTAAAGTCTTTGATAAAATTTTATTTAATTACGAAATCGGACTGTCCGAATTTAAGTACGAAAGTAGACGAGATCAAGCTCTAAATTTTTCACAAAGTAATTGTGGAAATGACCCCTCTTGGCTTGCGCTCTAAAACTTACCAATTTTAAAATATAGAAAATAAATAGATGGAAGGCTTCAAAACGCAAATAAACTCCTTAGATAGTTGAAAATAAGATACGTTAGTAAACAGTGATATGGTAGAGCTCTTCATAGAAATGGCTCGTAAATCACTCACACCTGCTAAACCGCCCGCGTGATCCCGGGATTCGAACAATCGAAAACCGTTGTAACGGAGGCGCGGATAAGGAGCCGTCGGTGACACCCCAGTCGTGACCCGATGATCCACGTAGCATCGTGACTCCCATGGGGTACAAACTCTCCTCCTAATTCGATTCTATCCGGCATTCAATTCTAATGGAGCCTATCTGTCCACGGAGTACTTAATCGTTACAACTTACGACAAAAACGCCGACTGAACGTTCGTTAACTAAAGGTCCATACCTGAAACAAACAATTGCGGTTCATTAATATTACAGTCTCAGATTATTTTTGTTGAATATAGAGGTATATAGAAGTTTAGTATATAGAAGGAACACAGACGGAGGTTAAAAAGCTACTGATAGATAAAAAACAGCAAGGATAAATAGGACAGAAACGATTCAGTTACATGTAAATATATGCCGAATATTACAGTTGGATTAGGAAAGGTTAAGGGGGTTTAAATAGTTGGATAGTTCATTGCAGGGGACCGAAACTTCAAGGCGTACGTACGGAGATTTAACCTCACCACTCTTCATGTATGTGCACGTCTAGCAAGCCCATAATATTCAGTCCACTTCATATTTACGTGCGAAGTACTGTACAAGTCCAGATAAAGCATGATTATGTGCCGATGTTTTTCAAAAGATGACCCTTTTTCGTCGGGTTCGAATTCAGCGCCGCTGGATTCCTTGGTATAGGGTTTTGCTTGTGGTTTTTGATTTTTCTCGTCCTACTTGCAAGAACCTCCACCTACATAGACCTTCACAAAAACATGAAATGTGTTCTGCGGTCTCCTCCTCTTCCTGGCAGTATCTGCACATTGTTTCTTCTGTCTGTACTCCTATCCTGTGCAGGTGCTTTCTTAAGTGGCAATGCCCTGTCAGGACCCCCTGTGGGCTCAGGCGAAGTCCGTCCATCAACCCTGGTGCTTGGGGGTAACCGATGATGGAGGCAAATTCCCCTACCTTCCCTGTCCTTCCTTACCTTTTCCTTTTTCCTATCCTTCCCCCCTCTGCTTTGGCAGAGTGTTCCTGTGTTACTGAACCCGCACCCCTCAGGCAACGGGTGCATCAGTAGGGAGTTCGCAAGATCTCCCGGGTGGGCCATCAGTCCCACCTTAAAAATATAACTGTACCACGGGAGTAGAGCATCCAAGCGGCTCTGCTAAATGAGGTTGGACTCGTGGTGGTCGTGGTTTGCAAACAAATTGTACCTTAGCCAACCGGAGCCGGAGATAGAGTGCCTTCTCTATTTCTCCGGGGGTGGTGAAAGGCCCCTAGCCACAAAATTGACTTTTTTAAGGCACCTCTGACACATTTTAAGGCCTTTTCAGGGCACCTCTGAACTTGGCTAGTATTGCACTACCTCGCTAGCCAGGGGATGTGACAAGTCCATGCATGTAAAATCTTCCTGGTGTTCCTTCGGAGTAAATCGACCATATACAACGACCTTCCGAAGACAGAGTCGACAGAAATTGTAAACTCTTTCAATTAGTTAATCTTTATGTAAGGTATTAGCTGAGATAAAAAAGTCAATGGCACGAGCGGGATTCAAACCCACGATTTTCGGCTAAATG